ACCTGTGGAATGGTGCTGTGGAATGGCACAAAGGTCAGCCGTCCTTTCACACACCTTATACAACACTTATTCCAACCATTTAAACCTGTGGACAGAATTCTATCTTTCTCGTGGCTCATCTATGTGAAGATTTGAAAATCCTATTTCCTTTTATGTTTAATGGTTATTTGTATAATTGGAAATCTGATATCCAGTTGCAGAAACTGAAACCTGCCTGAATTTTGAGTAAGTAAGAATTATTGAATAGACATTTCAGTTAAGATTTCAATGATTGATGTATGCTAGTAAAGTGAATGTAAAGGCAGTACTATGCTTATACTGCAGCACTATCACCAGGATTGTTACATTTGTTGTTACAAATAATTTTTCTTAGGTAAGCATTTCCTCTGTGTACTGAATGTAGCAAATTATCAACTGTTGTTGACCCTTTGATCCATTGGACAAAGTTGTGGTGTTGATTTTTTACATTGAACGGGAGGTATCAGCACCGTTGATCAGGTGGATGTCAGAGATTGATTTGTGAGATCATCATTTACTAGAATCAGTTTCCAGTGATGCTGCACTGAAAGCTTTTTTTGTTAAGGCAACAGTGAAATACAGGCCACTTAAAAATAAAAGCCAGATGATTCCTGTAATAGGAAGATCAGCCTGTTGTGGCAGAAGCAGCAGCAGCATCAGTGCTGTACAGTCCCAGATTGTTGCCACAGATATTCCGCCACCTACTAGAATTTTCCCCATGGCCATCTGGAAGAAGACTTCAAGTATGCTTCAGTTTCTTGAAATGTTAATTGAAAAGAGCCCTCAATTGGGACAAGCAAATTGTGCATGTCTTCCCCAGCGTTCTGCACTTCCAAGACAACAAGGTGCAGGGCTGGATGAACACAGCAGGCCAAGCAGCATCATAGGAGCAGAGAGGCTGACGTTTCGGGCCTCGACCCTTCATCAGAAAAGGGGGAGGGGAAGGGGGTTTTGAAATAAATAGGGAGAGAGTGGGAGGCGGATAGAAGAGGGATAGAGGAGAGGATAGGTGGAGAGGAAACAAACAGGTCGAAGAGGCGGGGATGGGGCCAGGAAAGGTGAGTGTAGGTAGGGAGTTAGGAAGGGGATAGGTCAGTCCAGGGAGGACGGACAGGTCAAGGGGGCGGGATGAGGTTGGTCGGTAGGAGATGGAGGTGCGGCTTGAGGTGGGAGGAGGGGATAGGTGGGAGGAAGAACAGGTTAGGGAGGCAGGGACGAGTTGGACTGGTTTTGGGATGCGGTGGGGGGAGGGGAGATTTTGAAACTTGTGAAATCCACATTGATACCATTGGGCTGCAGGGTTCCCAAGCGGAATATGAGTTGCTGTTCCTGCAACCTTCGGGTGGCATCGTTGTGGCACTGCAGGAGGCCCAGGATGGACATGTCGTCTGAGGAATGGGAGGGGGAGTTGAAATGGTTCGCGACCGGGAGGTGCAGTTGTTTGTTGCGAACACTTCCAAATTGTTCTAACTTTGCTCCCCTAAAACATTCTTGCACTTGGCATTGTTCCAATTACAACAGAGTAATAGCTAATGTAGTGCTACAAAATTGACAGAAATAAAGTTCTTTTTAATCAGGGGATTATGGTAGCTAAATTTTCATTGGTCTAATCAATGTAGGAACTTGTGGTAATTGGTTTGGTATATCACACCCCTTCGAAAAGCACCAGTAAGGGTTTTGCTGTCCGTTTATTTGAAGGATTATGGTAGCTGAATTTTAATAAGCCTAATAAACTTAAGAGGTCACAACAATCATTTTGATGTATCACACTCCACACCAGAAACCTTCAGTAGGATTCCACAAAAAATGTGCCTCACACATACATACAACTCATCTATTTATAGTAGACGTTTGAGAGTTTACTCCAATGTCTGCTGCAGCAGGAACACAATATAGCATTGCTGCAGTGCAGTTTTCAGAACAGGCTGTCTAAGACCTGTAGCCATGCAGGATTTCCTGAAGCAAGCAGTATTATACAAGAGAGCAGGAGGACAAAAGTAGTGTTCTGATCACCCGCAAAATAACGTTATATTAGACCGAAGGGTAATTATCTTGGTGAGTTTATTATATGCATGGTTATAGGTAACTAATATTAGAACAAGAAGTTGAACTCCATGGATGTAGTTCTGTGAGGGAAAAACATATATCCATTATACGCTTTTTAAAATTCAATTGTGGGATAAGTGCATTGCTGGCTGGAACAGTATTTATTGCCCATACCTAGTTGCCCTTGAGAGGATGGTGGTGAACTGCCTTCAAGAACTGCTGCAGTCCATGTACTGTAGGTAGATCCACGATGTTGTTACGGATGGAATTCCAGGATTTTGACCCAGCAACAGTCAAGGAACAGCAATGTATTTCGAAGCAGGATGGTGAGAGGCTTGGAGGGGAACTTGCAGGTGGTGGTGTTCCGATATATCTGCTGCCCTTGTCCTTCTAGGTGGAAGCAGTCATGGTTTTAGAAAGTGCTGTCTCAGGGTATTTGGCACATTTCTACAATGCATCTTGTAGATGGTACACACCACTACTACAGACCATCAGTGGGAGAGGGACTGAATGTTTGTAGGTGTGGTGCCAATCAAATGGACTGCTTTGTTCTGGATGGTGTCAAGGTTGTGTAGCTGCACGTATCCAGGCAAGTGGGGAGTATTCTATCACATTTCTGACTTGTGTCTTGTAGATGGTGGACAGACTTTGGGGAGTCAGGAGATTAGTTACTCACTGCAGTATTCCTAGCACTGACCTGCTTTTGTAGCCACTTTGTTTTTATGGCAAGTCCAGTTCAGTTTCTGGTCAATGGTGTTCCCCAGGGATGTTGATGAAGGGGAAAATTATGGGGCAGTGGGTGGATTGTCTCTTATTGGAGATGGTCATTGCCTGGCATTTGTGTGGTGCAAATGTTACCTGCCACTTTTCAGCCCAAACCTGTATATTGTCAGGTCTTGTTGCATTTAGACATGGACAACTTCAGGATCTGAGGAGTTGTAAATGGGTGCTGAACAGCATTGTCAGCTTTCCCTATAACTCAACAAAATTATTCACCGTATGGATGAGCCAACAGACCAGGAAGATCCAATTTGTATCCAGTACTAAGTAGTGCTGAATTACTCAAAGATAATATGTGGAGCGATAAGGATCCCATGGTCGATATTTGAATGCCTAGGAGGAAAACATTTGCTGGGATTCAGACTCCTGACTACTTACCAGTGATCCATGATGGAACCCATGTTTTGTGGGTATTACTTGAAATAGTTGATATTTCTTATGGTAGAACTGCCTGTTGCCATTCGCAGGTAAAGCATAAACGACTTAATTGGGGAACCAGCCATAATTTGCTGTAAAGTGTTAATATCATAGAAGGGGTTGGAGTAGGGGGAGGAGAAGAATATTGGTGAGATATAAAATCATTTTAATAAATGTTTTACTATTATACTTCAACTTCAATTGTTATGACTAGGTAAGGGGCGGCACAGTGGCTCAGTGTTTAGCATTGCTGCCTCACAGCGCCAGGGACCCGGGTTCGATTCCAGCCTCTGGCTAATGTCTGTGTGGAGTTTGCATGTTCTCCCCGTGTCTGTGTGGGTTTCCTCCTGGTGCTCCGGTTTCTTCCCACAATCCAGAGATGAGCTGGTTAGGTGGATTAGCCATGCTAAATTGCCTGTAGTGTTCAGGGATGTGTCGATTAGGTGGTTTATGTGGGATGTGTCTGGGTGGGATGCTGAGAGTGTCAGTGTGAACTTGTTGGGCCAAAGGGCCTGTTTCCACACTGTAGTGGCTCTATGGTAAGGAGGGATTGAATATTTTACTCTTTTTCCCTCTCCCCATTTGATTACAGCATATGTTTTGAATTTTTTAAAAAGGATGCTGGATTGCCCTGATTGTATGCTTTCTATAAGAATTAATCCAAACAGCTATTCATGAATTAACAAAATAAATGATAGTTTCATTGCTAAAATTACATGGGTAAAAACATTTAGAATGGTTCTTTAAAAAAAATCTACAAATATATCCTGCTTCCCAGTAATGCATGCAAGCATGTAAAAAGAGATACAACCTTACACAATATTGAATGTTAAAGTTGGCTAAGGTGCAGATTAAATAAAGTTATAGGCAGAACAGATTTATTGATTGCATTCAGATGGTTTGGTTCTTACAGTTGCAGTTGTTTTTTAGTTGTAGCTAATATATATTCCATTTGCTGCTAGAACCATTGTTGTAGAATATCCAACATCTTTTTAGTGGAAATTCTGTCTGCTATAGGGATATAGACACTTTTTTGCCATGTTCAGAATTTTGATGTAAAATGGAAGACAGAGAGAGGGGCAACACAGCCACCGTGTTGCAGTTGGTATCAATCTGTCTGCAATTCCAAATCCAGCATTAAAATAGATAAAGAGATTGGTAATGAGATTTCTGTCCAGCTTGATCAATAACAGTTGAAAGAAATCAGGTGTGAATCTCAAAAGGAAGCTGTTAACCAATGTCTGAGACTTATGTTTAGCATTGTTCTAATCATTAAGTCTTGAATGACCCATCTCTTGGTGAGATTGGAAGGAGCTGCTTACACCTCCAGAGATGCCTATTGACATCTCTGTAGGCTTTGTGTCTCCATGGGGTAGAACATGATTTCACAGTTGCAAATTGGTTTTAGTCACTTAAGTTTCAGTCAATGCTGTATTTTCAGGTTAAAAACTGCCTTTAAAAATACAGCACATGAGAACAATCTATGGCAAATTTTCATTTTACAGTGAGAAAGCTAAGACTGTGTGGCTACCAATTAGTTAGAAGACATGTAAAGGACATAGACATCTGCAGTGAATCTGCATGATCATTATAAAGACCTGTTTGGATAATAATCATGAACAAAAACATAGAAGCACAATATAACCCTATGAAAAAGTTAATTTAATGTAAAATTACAACGCAAAATATTTTCAATGTATGTGAACTAAGCGTAATGGTATTTTTCTTTCCACAAACAGGAACAAACAATGTGGTCATGCCTTGCTGCTATGGCAATTGCACACAAAGATCTAATGACAGCAGAGGTTGCTTATGCAGCAATTGGCGAGGTAATTAATTAATTATTTTTCTTTTTAAATCACATCTTTGTAATTAATCCTTCCAATGTAATACACCTTTGCATTTTTACATTCACAGAATCAAAAGTAGATTTTCAGTGCCTTCCCAAAGATTTTATGTTTGGGTACCAGGGAGCTGTTGCTACAGTTAATGGCAGCTGTACCAGCTGACACCTCCGTATTGTGGCAATTATTTCAAAATACCCCAAGACTCATGAAAATTTCTCTTCATAAAAATAGCATTCAAAAACGTTATTACAATAGGGGGGGATATTTACCAGAATGCCTGTAATCAAGAAACTGAATTTGGATGATTGCTGTAACATTGTTTCCTGTGTTGCCAGTAGCTAGTTCAAAATTCATATGTTTTAGAGTATAATTTTTAATTTTGAAAATGGTACAGCTGATTGAAAAGCTAGTAAAAAAATTCTGATATAAATGCAACTCTGACAATTATTTAATGACCTTTTGTGGATTATTCTTAAGATGATATAACCTGATTATCTGCTTTCAGCTAGTTAGCTTTTGCCTAGAGAAGTCATGTTGCTCCTGGAAGCTATTCTTTATAAAATATATAATAACAACACATTTATGATAGTAGGCAAATATGAAGCCTTCCACTTTTGACCTAAAATGGATAGAACAGAGCTCATTCTAAACAGAAAAGTTAGGAACACTGGAGGTCCAAAGAAACATAGGTCATTAAATCCAATCAACAGGTACAAGAATAATCACAAATGCTGATGGAATGCTGACTTTTATACAAGCCATGCTCAGCTGAACAAAGTTGGACTGCACTTGGAGTACCTTCAGCATTTCTGATCAGTACATCTCAGAGAGAGAATGAAAGCAAGATGATACCTAGACTCCAAGTATTAACTCGAGGACAGATTGTATAAGCATTGTGTTTCGTAGAACTTAGAAGATTAAAGTGTGATTTGATTGAAAATTTTAAGATACCAAGGGGAACACTGGCTTCAGAGTCAACAAGTAAGAGGAATTTCTAAAAATTCTAAGACCATTCATGAGTAAAATAGGAAAGATGTTGATACACAAATGATTGCAGAGATTTGGAGTTCTACAAATGGTAATTGATGATGTATCAATTGAATTTTTAAGTCTGGGGTCAAAACATTTTTGTTTATTTTTACTGCTAAAATATACATTATTCTTCAAAAAATTATCTGTATGACATACACAGGTACTAATGTATGTCTGTACAGTCTTTGCATATAAAGAAAAAAAAACAAACATTTAATATTCCCTGCAGTTGCAGAAACACATACATTTTAGGACAAAGAAAAGGTCTGATAACTGAACAGGCCCTTGTTTGATTTTAGCAGAAAGATCTCAGACATTTGTTTCTCCCCACTGCGCCTCTGGCGGCAGCTGCCCCGAGCTTTGCTGCTTCCCTGAGCACATTGTTCTGGACCTTGGAATGTGCCAGTCTGCAACTTTGGTCAAGGTCAGCAATTACACTGGAAGACTAACAAATTTTGGGCAGACCAAGTTGATGGTCCTCCAGGTGCAATCAGTGTTTGTCTCACTGTGCATCGCAGAAATAGCCCTTATCGCACAGAGTTCTGCATCACAGAGCTGCTCCGGACAAGCCACAACAAAAGCCCACTGTATCTCTTTCTCTCTAGGCCTTCTTTACAAAGGCACATTCCAGAAGAGATGAATAACAGTCCCTTCACCACTCAGCTGCTTTGAGGGCAGTGTGTGGTGGCACATAGAGACCAGACATAACATGAAGGATCTGACAGGTAGTGCCCGTCTCTCTGCCAGCCAAGCTACGCCTTGGTTCTTGTTGGAAGCTTCTAGCATTGAGGTATTCTGCCAAATGACTTTGACAGTCCACTCAAGGAACCACGTGACAGGATCCACGCTGTTCTTTTCCCACAGGGTCGTGAAGACACTATGTACTGACCACTTTCTGACGAACTTGTAGTCAGAGGCGCTTTCTTTATGAACTTTTTCACAAAGGACAGGTAACACAGAATGGTCTAACCTCTGGCGCCTAGGCCAGACCCATCCTTTGCAACACCGGGGGCAGGTAGAACCTCAGTCTGTAGTGACACTTAGTGTATCCATGCCGATGGTCTGCACACAGCTTGATGCAGCCACAAAGATAGCCATCAGATGAAGGCAATGTGGGTACATCTTTACACCATTCTCCAAAACTTTGTACATCGTGTCCCTGCAGACACAGTCCATTTTTGACCTCCAGTTGAAGTGAAATATGAAATGGGTGACTGCAGGTTCGGGGAATGGACCAGATCTGCACCACATGCAGAAACACTGACAGTACCTCACACCTGATGACCAGGTTTTTGCTGAAAATGGAGAAGAAGTAGTGTTCAGTTCCTGTCTCACCTTGGTGATATGGTCCTCCCAAGTTTTTGTGCGTGCCCTGGCCCCGCTGAACCATATTCGCAGCACTTTCAGGTAATCTGTCCTGATGGTGAAGGGGATAAAGGATTGGTTGACCCAGTCCCTAGACAACATGGCCTCGGCCTAGCCCTGATTTATCTTGGTTCCCAAGGCCAGTTCGAACGGGTCACAGATGCTTATGAGTCTGCGATTGACAGTGAATCCGAGCAGAAAATGGCGAAGTCATCAATGTACAGATTTTAAGGGATATGGACAAATATTAACTCTTTGAATAGTGGAACAGGGTTGGAGGAGCTAAATGGCTTACTCCAATGTTTCTAAGGCTGTTTGTACAAATAAATTTTGAAAATGCATGCAACTGAAACATGAAGTTCAAAATCTGCCATTAAACAATACAATAAATAAATAAATCGTGAGGAGGTATTGTGGCATCCCTACAACTGGGTCAGAATCTCTGGGTTCATTCCTCACCTCAGACTAGATTGGTTTAGAAGATACATTATATCCCGGCCAAAAAAAGTTGATTATCAATCTTTAAATCCTTTCAATATGTCTGTGGCCGGTGGTAAGAGCAGGAGAGTTTCCTGGTCAGCCAGAAATCCGTTCTGTACAGCAAATAGCTTTCGCATGTTAAAAGATATCTTGTGCACATTCTGGGTATGAGCAAGTGACATACTCATTCTGTGAGACTGCCATACACAAATGAATGTTGTAGTGATTGGAACCAGGTGGACCTTGTTGACTACAAGGTCCTTGATTGGAGTTGTTAACCTGGGCCAATCAGGAAAGTCCTCAGTTCTGAGGACTGACTCAGAGCTGGCTGGCCACAGCCAGTGTACTGTGCACAAGTAAATAAAGGGTGACTTGGTGACGGGATACCAGCCTCTGTGCAGTTATTTCAAATGGTAATGAAGCTCAATTTGAAAAAAGATGTTTTATTTTTTAACTCCTAGATTGATAAAGTGCAGTACATCAACTTTATCAAGGATTTACCCTCAAAAGAGACACGCATGGCACACCTGCTGCTACTTACTGGAAATGTACAAGATGCTGAGGGAATTTTAATCCAGGCGGGCCTTATTTACCAAGCTATTCAAATAAATATTAACCTCTTCAACTGGGATAGGTGAGCAAATGAAACATGTTCTACACTAGGTTAAATTAAATGCTTACTACATAGATACAAGTGCACACTAGAGGTCAGTGTTGCTAAATGTTGGTGATTACACTCTCATTGTTCTAAAATAGACATTTTTTGCTTATTTACCAAAATCACATGGCAGTGAAGCCAGAACAAAATATTTGTCCAGTGATATCTGATCAATTTCAGCCAGTCTTATTTATTTACTTTACTGTCCCTTTGTATGTAATAGTTTGTTCCAAATAGAGGATAAAATTGCACAGCTAATAATTGATCGTGTGTAGATGTACTCATAGAATCTCTACAGTGTAGAAACAGGCCATTCAGCCCAACATGTCTGCAACGACTCTCCGAAGAGCATCCAACCCAGGCCCATCCCTCTACCCTTTCCCTGTATCCCCACATTTCCCATGGCTGATGCACCTAACCTACACATCCCTGAATACTATGGGCAATTTAGCATAACCAATCCACCTAACTTGCACATCTTTGAGCTAGTTTACAATTTTCATTTATTTATTAATGGTTTAAACATTTAATAAGATGTAACATATCTTTTTCAAGGTAGTAGTTCAAATTCACTGTGTCTCCCCATATTATGCATTATCCCTGAAGAGAGAACAGGCTGTCCACTGATGTCCTTCGTTGCAATGCTGCAATTAGCTCTCGGGAGGTGGTCCAGTTTGGCCCAAATACTCATTCTTTGATTTCTCTTCAGACAAATCATTTGGCTTTAACTCAGTGCCATCTCATGTAACATAACTGAATCATGTGGAGAATCTCTGGGATGAATCACGTTGCCTTTTTTTAACAATGTTGTATGTTTCATCAAGGCACCATTAACTCAGCTAATATTTGCCATCTGTAACAATGTTTTATGTCTAAAATTGTTTATTTTTAAGAGACATGGGGTGGAATCTTATAGGGGCCTGAATGATTTGGCCTATGGTGAGAAATGTGGCATATTCATACGAAGTCCAGTTATGCCTATCTTGACATCGGTTATAACTGTCTACATCTTTTAACTAGGTTCTCACTCAGGTGAGATTCTCACTGTGCAACAATGAGTTGTCTGTTAAGCAGGATTATTAACAGGATTTTTAACAGGATTAACAACCTGTTTACTGCAGATCTCACTTCATTAATATGCAGCTTTCTAACATACCTGTTGCCGTGAGAAAATTAGATGCTGAGAATTCTTGTCAGAGTGGCATTGTCACATTGACATCCAACATTTGCCAGCCTGTAAGAACCCTCATGGTACAACTCCAAACCATTTACCAGATGCTGTTGAACTTCAATGCTGCACCTTGGGCCACAATGGCAACTATCATTATATTGCTGCAGCAAGGATACTTTGCGCTCAGGGACACACACCCAATTCAGCTCTCCACCCTGCTCACTTGCTTTCATAGTGCTCATTCGCTTTGAATCTATCTGGGTGCTTACATCATCTCCGCCATGCCTTGGCCCTCAGCCAGAGCTCCCTTGCTTACAGTACTGCTGGACTGCTGTGCCATTTATTGCAGACACACAACTAGGAAGCTTGTTATGATTGCCAGCAGTCCTCAGTCACATCAAGGGATATAGCGTTCAGCTAGGGAGCTCAACACTGTAAGTCACGAACAGCCTCCAATACCCAGTGCAGGGGCACGGACACAGTCAGTCGGCTGTTCAGGGCAATCAGAGTCAGGATCCAGGAACATAAGATGTAGGAGCAAAAGTGTCCCATCACGTCTGCTCCGCCATTCAATGACATCATGTCTGATCTAATAATCCTTAACTCCATTTTCCTGCCTTCTCTCCATAACACCTGATTCATTACTGATTACATAGCTGTCCATATTCAGCTTTGAATATACTAAGCAATGCAGCCTTGACAATCCTCAATGGTAAAGAAGTCTACACAGTCACTAACTTCTGAGAGAAAATCCTCCTTATCTCCATCTTAAATAGGTGATCCCTTAGTCTAAGATTATGCCATCTGGCCCGAGACTGTCCCACAAGAGGAAACAACCTCTCTGCCTCTATCTTGCCAAGCCCCCAAAGAAACTTGTATCTTTCTGTAAGGTCACCTCTCATTCTTCTGTTCAATGTTCATTGACAATTGCAGAATGTTCAGCACCATTCGCAACTTCTCAGATAGCTGTCCAGGTCCAAATGCAGCAAGACCTGAACAATATCTAGATTTGGGCTGGCAACGGTCAAGTAACATGCACATCAAAGTGCTAGGCAATGGCAAGACAAAATTTGACCATTGCCCTTTGGCATTCAATGACATTAACATCACTGATTCTCCCACTATTAACATCTGGAAGTTACCATTGACCAGAAACTGAACTGGACAGCCATATAAATACAGTGGCTACTAGAGCTGGTCAGAGGCTAGGAATCTTATAAGGTGTATTTCGCCTCCTGATTTCCCAAAGCCTGGCTACCATCATCAAGGCACAAATCAGGAGTATGATGGAATACTCCCCACAATACTCAAGAAGCTTGACATCATTCAGGACAAAGCAGCCTCCTTGATTGGCACTGCATCAACTAACATCCAGTCCCTCCACCACCAATATTCAGTGGTAGTGGCGGTCCCAGCCACAAATGCACTGCAGAAATTCACCAAAGATCCTGTGACAGCATCTTCTAAACTCATGACCACTGTCATCTAGAAGAATAAGGGCAGCAGATACATGGGAACACTATCACCTGAAAGTTCCTCTCCAAGCCACTCACCATCCAGACCTGGAAATGTATAATCGTCCCTTCAGTGTCACTGAGTCAAAATCTTGAAAGTCCCTTCCTAACAACATTGCAAGTGTGCTACACCAAATAGACTGCAGAGGCTCAAGAAAACAGGTCACCCCCACCTTCTCAAGGACAACTCAGGAAGCCCAGTGAATGCTGACCCAGCCAGCGTAACCAAATCCCACGAACGAATAACCGACTCCAGTAATTTCCCCAGAGGGGTGGTAGAAAGATAAGCAGAATCTTGATCCAACACATTCTTCATTTAATACAAGAACTCATTGTGATGGATCTTGCCCAACTAGTTATTTCTATATTGATCATAAAATTTTAATAATGCTGTTAATTTTTAATCAATGAAACATATTTTAATTTCTTAGCAATATCAGCTATCTCTAATAGTTTATTTTACACAGAGCAATGTATGACATAATACTTCTTCCATATAAAATGAAATTTATAAGTTTAAAATAATGTCATTATTGCTGAGAAATCTGATAAATATAATCCTCGTGGGATCTTTTCACACGATGACATCAGTATTTCTTAATTAGTCAGTTTATGCAATTTCATTGCCACAACTTATTTAACTGACAAAATCTCTGGCTGAAAATCAGCATTCTCAGCAAGTAGTATTGTAGATTGTTGTCTTGAATTCAAAATATAACATGCTAAGAAATGATTTAGCTCAATCATCGTGAGTTCTGATTGTATTCTAATCTGATCACTATCCAAAGAATAATTAACAAGCACAACATATGAGTCAGATGAAAACTTTGTTTAAACTACAAATCATTGGTTATCATTTATTTTGCTTTAACTCGTGTTCCTTAAGATATTTAGAAAATATTCTTTGCTTTTCCACAAATAACTATTGCAAGTGAAGACTAATTTTCAGTGCTGATAAAAGAAATTGAGGAAGAAGATAGAAAAATAATTCTTAAGTGTATCTACTAGTGCTTAGTTTTATCAGTACAATGTGCCACATACTTGTATTAGGTCATTTTATTTAAAATTTTCATTCTTTTTCCAAACTCAGAGCTCTGGAACTGGCTGTAAAATACAAGACACATGTAGATACTGTCCTAGCTTACAGGAAGAAATTTTTGGAGGATTTCCAAAAAGAAGAATCCAGCAAGAGATTTTTACAGTATGCAGAAGGGGTACGTAATTAGAAAAACAAATGTTGTCATTTCTATCCTTCTAGGATAGGGGACTGTTAGTTACAATGGTAGTGCACTCACCACTGAGTCAGACACACTTTAAAGTCCCACCTGCCCCAGAAGTGTGTCATAACATCTCTGAACAGATTGGTAAGAAAATATCCATTCTTCCAGGATGAGAGCTAATCAACTTAAATTGGAACATAAGGACAGATTTATGGATCTGATCTGAATGGGTCTGGCTTAAATAGTTGTCATGATCTGTTCTCAGATAACTTCTTAGAAAGATTTAATTGGAACACTTGCAATCCAGTAGTTCACCTATAAATGAAGAAAAATGTAATTCATAATTTAAATCCAATTTACCATTCGGTTGCCAATGTTATATTCGAGATTATGCTGCTGATAGTGGAGGAAGGAGTGCACATCTCTTGCAAAATAATTCAGAAATAGATTTAGTGCATTAGCACTAAATAACTTCTGTTTCTCTTCAGAACTTGATTAGTGAATGCTTAAGAGGAAAATATAATAATTGATTTTCCTTTTCTGTCTGTCTCTTCTGTTTTTCTCTCTCAGTCCCATTTCTTCCCTAATCCCTATATAATTTTCTGTACATTATTTAAACATAACATGTTCTTCCTGAGTTATATTTTTGATCTACACTCTTCAGTCAGACTGTTTACTGACCTGACCCATAAGGGAGCCTGCAATTATGGATTTACCTCACATCTCAGGTATTATGGATCAGAAGCCCAGTACAATTAACAGAGAGCGGCCAATCAGAGAGATTGTCATTAGTGTGATTTGATCACTCAGTGAGAGGCATGGAAAATAGGGGGTTGGGGTTTGATCAATTCAGGGCAAGATCAGATGCCTCAGGAAGGGAAAGTTTAGATGCCTTTGGGTATCAAGGCCTGTAGGTGTTGGGGGCGATGGGAGTCTAATAACGGGCGGGATGGAAATTGCGGCTTTGGTAAGGAGGAATGATCAGCCTCAGAGATGGATTTTTTTGGAGGAAGATCATAGGGTTGCGATTAAACACAGAAACTCTTTGGCCTTGTACCTGAAATGAAAGAAATTGCTATGAACGCTTTTGAATCATGATTTTGCAAGTCCTTACCTTGTGGAAACTGCTAGATCAATGCTAAGGGAAACCAGCCAGAAGAAATTAATGTCAAGAACTTGAATGCCATTATCCTATTTGAAATTGCACCAACCTCTTTGGATTGGATTGGTCACCTATTCAGCTTCCAACTTCAGTTAATGATGGAAATGTATAGGTTTGAGTCAGGAAACAGTTTCTGAAATTTTAGATATTTTCTATCAACCTGTTCAGAGATGCTTTAGATATCTTTGGAGCAAGTGAACTCGAAATCAGGCCTCCTGGCTCAGAGGTAGGGAACTACCACTGCAGTACCCGCAACCAAACCAAACTCACTCACTCTGTTTAAATTTCCATTCTCTGTCTCAGTGAGGGCTCTCCATGCTGCAGGTTACATTTAGAGTTTGTTACATGGTCAGACAGCTGACCAGGGTAAGTCCACTCAAATAAAAGCTGAAAGAACTGCGGATGCTGTAAATCAGGAACAAAAACAAAGTTTCTGGAAAAGCTCAGCAGATCTGGCAGCATCTGTGAAGGGATGAACAGAGTTAACGTTTCAGGTCCAGTGATCCTTCGTCAGAACTGACCACTCACAGCCCGTGAAAACTCCAAGGGTAGCTGTCAACACAGTGAAGGCTGAGTATCCTATTGTGAGCTAGAGTAGATACAATGTAAATGCACCCTAATAACTTTCCCAGGCCTGTGAATAAATGTTTTTTTATTTATTGAAAGTAATTAGTGTTTCCTTACTAGTCAGATGGGGCAGTAGCCTGTTATTTCCCATTTGTTTGGTGTGTTGCACAGGTATGAGCAATAGGCCAGGGTTTTTGTGTGGGACCAAGAGGCATTCCTACTTCCGCTGGCACCATAAAATGAGAAAAGCTCTAACTTTTTTGAAGAGGCATTGCAATATCCCTTTATGGACTCCTGATTATGTCACTTGCCACCAGGAAGTGGCATTGGTGAGAATTTGCATAAAACATTGAATTAATTTGAAATCCTCAACTCATACTGTTTTAATTTATTATCATTTGCAGGTAGAAGTTAATTGGGAGAAAATTCAAGCCAAAATTGAAATGGAAATTTCAAAAGAACGAGAGCATGCAGCCACTATTATTAATTTAAATTCAGCTGGATCCAGGAGCACACACATAAACCGGTAATTTAAGGCTCAGGATTGACAACTTCAGATGGAGTTTACATAACAGACCGTTAAAGTTTTTCTACCTTTTGTTTATAGTTGAAGGAAATGTTTGCAAGATTTTGGGATTAAAAGTTAAAATAAAGTTCAGCAAGTTTATTTTTTATCACAGCACAATAAACAAGTATTTTTCAAGTAATGTCATTCATTTGTTATTGTAAATATATCTAATGTACTTTTCAAACAATTGTGGTTTTCTCTTCTGTATTAAATACAAAGTAGAATTAATTTAATTTGAAATAATCAATTTCAAAAGCTTGTGTTGTAGTTCCAACATTAATCATCTTAATAAATGATCTTATTGTATGTTAGTTGTAATAAATGACAATTAAATAATGTAATTCAGAGATTTATTTTTTATTGTGTATGATATTGGAAATAGGACTCCATACTAAATCCTAGAGTAAGAAAATTCTTGTCTGAGTTTATTAGTCAACAAATATTTATACTTAACATTCCATTAGTCAAACATGACATGTTATACAAGTTCAACAAATGACCATTGTTCTTCTATGGATTCTGGGATTTCTTAGTCCTTTGAACTTCTTCTTTTGTCTCACAACATATTTCATGGTTTTAACTTGCTTAGTTTAATTCTAATATATCTGCAAAACATCTTTGCAACTTTAAGACTTCAACTCTAATTTCCCAGTTTAATTTAATTGCTATAGTAATAGCTACTTGTTCAATGATTCTCCCTCTCTGCAACTGTTGCCGAGTGCTCACTACTAAAAGCAGCTTCCTAACAAAAGCTGGTTATTTTCATTTTATCTTAAAGCAGTTTTATTGGACTAATATCTATGCTTGAATTTCTTTGGCAAATCCTCAAGTTATACCTAGATTTCTCAGAGCAAATGCCTTAGCTTACCTATATCTGGACTTTTTATACCAAATCCTTAACCTATGACAGGTACCCATTGACTCATAATGCCCATGGGAAGTGCCACTACTAACTCCTAACTTTTTCTCCTGGCAAGGGTCCCATAAATGCCTTCTTGAAAAGTGCTATTCCCTGGCTATTGTCTTATTTTTTACACATTTTGCACCCTTCTTATGTCCCCTTCAGAGCATGCTTTCCTGCATATCTTTCTGTCATTTGCAAATCTAAATACATATTCTGTGTTTTCTGAAGTATCATCTTAAATGTCTCACACTACTTCTTGATATATCCCCTAGCCAAGTACTCTAGTTCACTTCAGCTAGCTCAGCTTTCATAACCACATATTTGTCCTTATTTAATTTTAAAATACTAGCCTTAGACCCACTCTTCTCCCTTTCAAACTAAATGTAAAATTCAATCATAGTGTGGTTGTTGCAACTAAGTGGTGGCTTTACTCTGAGGTCATTAATTAATCTTGTTACATTAAACATTACCAAGGCAAGTATAACATCAGTATAATTAAAGTCTAGTATCTCTGGCCTGTTCCAAAATGTGCTCCTCTAAGAACCCATTGAAAGCATTCTATGAATTCCTCATCCAGGCTACCATTGCCAATCGTATTTTTCCAGATTATATATAGATTGAAGTCATCCATGATTATTCTAGTCTCTAACACCAGCACCCAATATTTATTCTCTATGTCATACCACATTGTGTAGACCATCTCTAGTAGTAATTTCTGTCTCATAGTATTCCTCATCTCCACCCAAACTGATTCTACATTCTGATCTTCTAATTCAAGGCCTTTTCTAACTATTATACCAATGTCATCCTTGATTAATGGTGCTACTCCTTCACGTTTACCTAGCTTCTTGATTGTCATATTCCCCTGAATATTTAGGTCCTAATCTTTATCATCATGCAGCCACTTCTCCGTAATAACTATCCAATCATATTTATTTCCTTCAATTTGTGTGATCAATTAATTTAATTTGTTATGAATGCTATGCACATTCACATAAAGAGACATTGGTTATGTCTTTGTGTTATCATTCTAATACCTAGTCTTCACTGTTGGTGTATTCTTTACCTGTCCCTTCCTGCCATTCTCTAACCTTTTTACATGTTACTACTTTGCTGTCTTCCCTTGGCTCTAGACCTTGATTCACTACATCTATCCAAGCTTACGCTCTCAACTCCATTGCTTAATTTATAGCTTCTCTGCGAAGCCTCTCTGCTTTTCTCATTATTTATATGGGTTTACTTGAAACAGATTTTGACATTTTAGGTATAGACTGTCCCAAAAATACAGCCCCCATTTTCCCCACTATTGGTGTCAGTGTCCCATGAACCAGAACCCACCAGTCTTTGAGCCACATGTTAATTTCAATAATCTTATGTGCCTCTGCCAATTAGCACGTGACTCAGGTAATAATCCCGAGATTATTTCCTTGGAGATTCTGCTCTTCACTGAGGTGCCTAGCTCCTTACACTGTCTAAGCAGACATAATTTCCTTGTTTAACCTACATTTTTAGTAACTACACGGATTATGATGACTGAATCCTCCCATCCTACTACAAGTTCCCCTGCAGCTCTTACTAGATGTCCCAAACCCTGGTACACAGGGAAGGCAACACAGTCTGTGGACTGAGGCTGTTGACTGCACAAAATAGTGTCTATCCCTCTCATTATACAATCGCCTACAATCACTGCATTGATTTTGCTCCCCCATTTGAATGTTGCTATGGGCAGTTACCACATCCACCTTGCAGCTTTCACTGTCATCCAGATCAGCAGGAAGAATCTCAAACCAGTTGGCCAATTGCAAAGGCTGAAGCTCCTGCCCTCTAGGTCTCTTTACCCATCTCACTCGCAGTCTTGCCTTCCTTTACCTGACCACTGACCAAATCAGAAAACCCTAAGTGTGGGGGGCGTGAATGCCTCCTGCCAGTGGCCCACAACACCTACTGGATGACCAATTTTGAGTTGTTAGATCTGTTTGAATTGTATCCCATTTAGCACAGTGGTAGTGTCACACAAGAGGATGGAGGGGATGTCATCAGGAATGTGAAGATGTCATCAGTGAGATCAAGCAAATGTATTGACTATGAGAGCACAATTAAAATTGACATTCAGAAAAAGATAAACTCCGTGGGAGCCTTGTTTTGACAATTGGAGGGAACTTTCGCTTTTCCTAATTTAGTACCTTGATGCATCTGTAATAGGTCATCTTTTTCTGTAATATTTATTGTTAATGTCACACTGTTTTCACAAAATTAAGAGGTGTGAAGAGGTTATAATTCTGTTATTTGTACTTCAGTGGTGTGGTTATTCAGACTTCAATAGGATTGTACAGCAGCAAATACTTTTCAGAAGATTTATGAATGGGAATTTCTTAGCAGTTTCATTGGTTCTGTACCCATTCGGCCCTTTGAGCCTGCTCTGCCATTCAATATGATTGTGGCTGATCATCCAGCCCAGTACCCTGTTCCTGCTTTCTCCCCATAACCTTTGATTCTTTTAGTCCTAAGAAGTATATCGAATTCCTTCTGGAAATTATTCAACATCTTGCTGTTTGTGGGACTTGCCGTGGCTGCCATATTTCCCTTCCTTTGCAACAATTTCAACACCTTACATTGGCTGTAAAATGTTTTAAGACTTCCTGAAGTCTCAAAAATGCTCTGAAAATTCAAATCTTTCGCAATTTTTCTTTTTTTAAACTCCTGCAATGATATGATTAGTGATAGTTTGTATTTTCTCAAAGTTCTGATTGCATGCTGTTCTTTATTTTAGAACAGCAACAACTGCATAGCATACATTGATAACATTCAACCAATTACTCACTAACATTTTCATCAAATTGGACAAAACCTAAAAATCATCAGCGTAGATTATTTAAACTCAATAAGACAGCATCTATTTTCAAAAAATTAATTGAGAGAGACTCTTAAGTGTATGTCAGATGCAGTATTGATCTGCTGACTATATTAATCAACTAGTCACTTGTTTTTGTCAAGATAACATGTTACAGCAAATGCTCTTAAAGATTTTTCCCTGTATTTTTAAATTAGGTTAGGTGTCATGCATGATGATGATGATAGTAATGTAGAATTGAATGCTTTTCCAATTATTGCACCATGTGTCAGTATCATTCACCAATGTTATAAACATAAACACAGGTGTTCACAGAATTGTTACTGTTCAGGAGAAAGTGATTAAGCCCATTTTTTTTTCATTTGTCCATTGGATATGGCCCAAATCTAATTGCCCTGGGGGAGATGATAATGAGCTGCCCTCTTAAACTACTGTAGTCCTTGCGGAGTATGGGCAGTGCTGTTAGGAAGCGAGTTCCAGGATTTTGATCTAACAACAGAAAAGGAATGGTTCGAAGGCAGAATGATGTGTTGCCTAAAGGGGAATTTGCAGATGGTAGTGTTCCACTGCACTTGTCTTTCTGGACAGTATAGTTTGCTGGTTTGGAAGGTGCTGTCGAAGGAGCCTTGGCAAGTTACTGCATTGGGTGGATGGCATACCAATCAAGTGGGTTGCTTTGTCCTGGATGGTTTCAACCTTCTTGAACCTTGCCAGAATTTCACTGACTCAGGCAAGTGGAGAGCTTTCCATCACATTCTGGACATATAACTCAGTGGGTAGGCATTGTGGAGACAGAAAATAAATTATTTAGTACATAATTCCAAGTCGCTGATCTGCTGTTATAGTGACAATATTTCTATGGCTAGTCAGTTCAGTTTCTGGTCAATGTATCATAGAATCCCTACAGTGTGGAAACAGACCCTTCGGCCCAACAAGTCCACACTGACCCTTGGAGCATCCCATCAAGACTCATCCCCCTATAACCCATCTAATTTACACATCCCTGAACACTACAGACAATTTAGCATGGCCAATCCACCTAGCGTGCACATCTTTGGACTGTGGGAGGAAACTCACATAGACATGGGGAGAATGTACAAACTCCACACAGACAGTCGCCCAAGGGTGGAATCGAACCCAAGTCCCTGGTGCTGTGAGGCAGGAGCTAACCATTGAGCCACCGTGCCATCCAAATGTAATTCCTAGGATATTGATAGTGGGGAATTCAGCAACGGTAAGGCCATTGAACATCAAGGTGTGATGGTGAGATTCTCCAGTGAGAAATGATCATTGCTTGGGACCTGTGTTGTGCAAACATTACTTGCCTCTTATCAGCCCAAGCCTGGTGTTGTCCAAGTCTTATCATATGTGGACAAGAACATCTACAGTATCTGAAGATTCACCAATGGTACTGAACACTGTTTCAGTCATCAGTGAATATCCCCAATTCTGACATTATGATGGAGACATTATTGAGCAAGCAGATGAGGATGTTTGGGTTTAAAACGCTACTGTTAAGAAACTCCTACAGAGATGTCCTGGGGGTTAGATGATTAATTTCCAACAGCTACAACCATCTTCTTTTGTGTTAG